GGAACCGTGGTTTGAGCATTGACTGACAAGTCAGATATATAATGCTGTATCCAAATTGATGGTATTCATGTTGTTTTATTATTTTTTTCTTCCGGAACCTCTCAGCTCATATTTAATGTTTGGGATCCCTGTGTAATTTTTCTTTTCACGACCCACAATTCAGTTCGTTGTTTATATTGGCCGTCGAACTACYCGACACGAACGACAATATTTTTATTGAAATATTTGAAACTTACGATACTGCTGGCGTGGATTGCTAAAAGGTGGGTCGAGTAATGCGATTGTCAGCAACACTTAAAGATGGTGTTGCCCAGACTGGACAAGTATTATATGTGATATAATTAAAATTAAAACTGCAAAATATCGTTTGTTTGTAGGTGCAAAGCATCGTAATTTTAACTAAAAAAATATCGGGCTGGCTGTTTATCATGCTAGGTTTTGTTTATTATTTTTTCAATATACTGGATTATAATTTGATTATATTTATTTTGCTATTTCATCAGAAATTTCAASATCTATATCAGCGGAGACATATTAACCTTAATATAAATGTCAAGACAAGTCCAAGCAAATGTCCATATTCAACCCCAAGTAATTGCAAGGAATCAAATTATCCATGGGAATRTCTATACTGGCCGTGTTTATTCACCTCAGGCATACAAAAGACAAAGAATAATAGCAACATGCATCCCCCTCATATTTTTGATTATGGGTGTGGTTTGTTTAGCTCTGGGCGTCACATTGATGGGAGCTATGATGCTCGGCTTGGGTGCCTTTTTCTTGGTCTTTGCAATTTTAATTATCCGCAGRTCTAGAATGAGAGAACAGCAACAAAATGCACAAATGGCAGTAATTTACAACCAAGCRTCTATGCAACCACCTTCTCAGTTTTATCCCTCACAACATTAYCCAGCTCAGTTGTACCCTGCCCAGATATCTGCACCACCCCACCCTCCACAAACCTACAATTTTCCAAGTTCATTGTCAACACAAGGGGTGCAATCTCAGCAATTCAATGGAGTTCAGAGCATGCAACCTGGTCCACACATTGAACCCCCACCGCCGTCATATGACGAAGCAATGACTAGTCAAAACAAATAATCATGTRACTGGATGACCCAATTAACTTATTCTTTTGTAATGTGACTTTGCTAATAAAAGTAATTGTATCAGGTATTTCCACTTCCCTAATAAATTTGGCACAAGCCAAGTTGTCAAGCCACAAAGCAGCAAGACACCAAACAAGGTTCAGGGTCCGTGCAGAGTATCAAAAACGAAATTTAAGGACTTTTCAAGCACTTTTTCACRGACCAAAATTGTATTTTTAAGGAGCATCAAAATCATGCTAATTGTACATGCTTGCCTCAAAACTTCAGCCGAACGGAATAATTCAGAGGTCGATAGCACTTCTTCGTAGAGATCCATCTTTTTCAAGGACTTTTTCAAAATTTTCAAATTTTCAAGGAGTTTCAAGTGCCCTCGAAAACGAGTTTTCAATTCAAGCACTTTTCAAGGATTTAAGGACCTGCACGGACCCTGAAGGTTGTACTACCTTGAAAAGAATGGTTATCAGACAAAAAAAAAAGAAAAGAAAAAAAAGAAAAAGACGACAAAAAAAAAAAGAAAAAAAGAAAAAGAAAAAGACACAGATCTTTATTTGGATGTACCAGTTCTCCTTTTCCATTTCCTGCAGTTTTGCTTTGGTTTTTCACTTTTGAAAAAAAATATCTGATTCCTKTTGGGGACTATGAAGGGGCTAGAAACACTTGAATTCCAAGATAAAACAATGGTCATTTACTGATACACTTGTACATACATTAGAGACATCTTGAAGTTAAGTCTAATAATTTAAGTCTATTARATTAAAATGTCTATTAATACTCTATTAATACTATTAATTGGCTTCTTAAGCCTTGATTAACTGAGCATGGTAATATTGTTTTTTAAAAATAAATTATTTTGAAAATCCAACTTGGATATAAAGCCCGTTAATCAGACCAAASTTTCCACYAGGCCAAGAAGCYGMTAAAAGTTGRCCAAGTCTTAYRTTGGMAGTGGTGGCTGGGCTATTAAAGGCTCTTCACATAAATAAGAAGTGTTCGTCRTGTTGTTAAGACAACAATATCCATTTGACCAAAAATAATATTAAAAAAGCTGATAAAATAATTATTTMTGTGTCAAAGTCATAGCTTCTTCATATGTTGGTGGTGGAGGCTGGGCCAAAGGCTCTCCCGTTGGTTGTAGAGGAGCTTGTGCACCTTGTGTTGGTACTGCAGACATTGATGGTGTCTGTGTGGGGGGCTGTGCTTGAGTTACATGACTAGGGTAACTTTGTGAAGGGTAGGGTGGGACATAAGGTTGCTGTGTTGGGTATGGCTGGGCTGTATGTTGCTGAGGAGGGTGTATATGCACAGCTGGATACATTGGACCTTGGTTCTGTCCTGGTATTGCTTGTCCAGGAACCTGGTTATATGTCACATTGGGCTGCATTCCTGGATTTTGTGCTCTTTGTTGTCTAACATAAGTACAGACCACAAAGGAAAATATGATAATGCTAAAACCAAGAAATACCACACCAGAAATAACAAGATCCACTGCAAAATTCGCCACAGCAATACCGAAAAGAAAYAAGGCAACAACTATCATGAATAAGGCTTTTCTTCTATCAAAGTGAATCGAGCAGAACTGGCCACAGTTGCTGTTGTTGTTATAGTATATACGATTCCCAACAACTTGTCCTTGGGGGTGGCTTTCAGTATACTGTTGCTGCATGAGCATAGACATTATGACTTGTACATAGAAAAACAACCCTAAAAAATAATCAATTAACCAAAACACATTAATTGGAGTTTGTGTGTCAACGTATGAAAACAAAAAACAGTCTCACAGACCAAGAATGCATTACAGGAATCTCATATAAGCATAAATACAATAAAAATATATTTTACTCACTAATAATAATAACAGAAGTAATTAGTTATACAATTTATGTTATAATGTTATTCAATGCTTTTAAGCATAAAAAAAATTAAAATTATTCAGGACTGTAAAATGGTGAGAAAAATTATTCAGTTGAATTTGGATTAAAATCAAATCGAGTCGTTTTCACTAATTGACAGGGAAAGATTAGTGAGACTGATAGCTATTGTTTTCTATCAACAAATACTACCTAAATAGATATTTTCATTTCATGGTTCAATGACAAATAGAAACGACTAAATCATTACAACCATACTAAGCTTAAACTCTAAAACCAGAAACTCATATTTAAGTTAAATACTTGACAGCAAACAATAGCAACTCACCTCACTATATGCTATCAATATTCGATGTTTACACTGTAAATCCTTGGTAAAAATCACCGTAAAATCACAAACGTTTTCTCTAGTAAGCAGACGAGACGTCTAACTGTGCGTACATCCCATAATCTTGGGTTAAACTGTGCTGCATGTTTTTTAAAAATCAATCATGGAAACACACATTGAAATATCATGGAAGACACATTTAGTACTGTGCTTACTCCAGATAAACATAAAAGGATTATTCACTACTTAAGTAGTATAGTCCTTCTGCCACAATCAACAAAAGTAACGACTCTCGCTATTTTTACTTACTTGGGCTTCCTGTGCTGCTACACAAAACAGGAAACCCAAATAATAACTAAAACCGTAACGTCGATCCTAGCGTACTAGTGTACAAAGGGATACTGCCCTTTCTATGTACCGGCCCGCACTAGCGTACTAACGTACTAAGGTACAGTACTCATTTTTTATAGGAATACCGTCCCGTACTAGCGTACTATGGTACAGTACGCTTTTATTATAGGAATATCGGCCCGTACTAGCGTACTAAGGTACAGTACGCATTTTTTATAGGAATACCGGCCCGTACTAGCGTACTAAGGTATAGTACGCTTTTTGTGGTTACTCCCGTCTTTTAGACGGGGAACCACTATGTTATCGGTTTGTAGGTCAGTAAGTTAACTATCACGTGACTTGAGACTTTCATGCCACTATACCCCCCTCCTGGGGATGAACATTCTGCATTGTGTCCCACCCTTCGAATCTGACCCCAGATTTGCCGCCTATAAAATTATACCTTACCCCGTCATGTCTATGCTTATCTGTTATGAGAAGCCGTCTCTTATATATGACGATTTTTTTGTATTTCCATCAATGTGGGCTTTCATCAATGCTTCGCTTCAATTTCATACGTCGAAAAATCGTACGCATATGCGCATTAGCTTCTTATTTGTTATGAACGATGACGCTGACCAAAAAGAACGATCTGACATGACGTAAGACGATGCCATGACAACTACGAAATGACGCTGGTCAAGAAAAACGCTGGCTCTCCAAACCACGAGGGATGTATATCGATTGAAGTCTTTCAAGTTCAAATCGGTAAGTAAGCCTTGTTTTTGCATTGTTTCTACTCTTTGTATATCACAGCTTTCATTTTACAATTTCGATTGTAATAATGGAAGCTTTTTTTAGTGTTTTTGACATTTTAGGCCGATCTTTATGGCGGCATTACAAGATAAATCCACGTTCGATGGCGATGTTTCAGACCGACAGCGAGTGCAAAGACCTCTGCTCTTCCTTGATGCAAAGATCAAAAAAACAAACCAACTGCAAACAAACAGTGACTTTACGACAAAAACAGAACAAATACAAACTGACTAAACCCCATTGCGGGTTAAATCATTACAAACCCCATTGC